AGGTCTTTAAAAAATCCACGCCTCTTATAGGTCTTTAAAAAATCCACGCCTCTTATAGGTCTTTAAAAAATCCACGCCTCTTATAGGTCTTTAAAAAATATTCTTTAAAAAATCCACGCCTCTTATAGGTCTTGAAAAAATATTCTTTAAAAAATCCACGCCTCTTATAGGTCTTGAAAAAATATTCTTTATAAAAAAATCCACGCCTCTTATAGGTCTTGAAAAAATATTCTTTAAAAAATCCACGCCTCTTATAGGTCTTGAAAAAATATTCTTTAAAAAATCCACGCCTCTTATAGGTCTTGAAAAAATATTCTTTAAAAAATCCACGCCTCTTATAGGTCTTGAAAAAAATATTCTTTAAAAAATCCACGCCTCTTATAGGCCTTGAAAAAATATTCTTTAAAAAATCCACGCCTCTTATAGGTCTTGAAAAAATATTCTTTAAAAAATCCACGCCTCTTATAGGTCTTGAAAAAATATTCTTTAAAAAATCCACGCCTCTTATAGGTCTTGAAAAAATATTCTTTAAAAAATCCACGCCTCTAATAGGTCTTTAAAAAATCCACGCCTCTTATAGGTCTTGAAAGAATATACTTTAAAAAATCCACGTCTCTTATAGGTCTTTAAAAAATCCACGCCTCTTATAGGTCTTGAAAAAATATTCTTTAAAAAATCTACGCCTCTTATAGGTCTTGAAAAAATATTCTTTAAAAAATCCACGCTTCTTATAGGTCTTTAAAAAATCCACGCCTCTTATAGGTCTTGAAAAAATATTCTTTAAAAAATCCATGCTTCTTATAGGTCTTTAAAAAATCCACGCCTCTTATAGGTCTTGAAAAAATATTCTTTAAAAAATCCACGCTTCTTATAGGTCTTTAAAAAATCCACGCCTCTTATAGGTCTTGAAAAAATATTCTTTAAAAAACCCACGCCTCATATAGGTCTTGAAAAAATATTCTTTAAAAAACCCACGCCTCATATAGGTCTTGAAAAAATATTCTTTAAAAAACCCACGCCTCATATAGGTCTTGAAAAAATATTCTTTAAAAAATCCACGCCTCTTATAAGTCTTGAAAAATATTCTTTAAAAAATCCACGCCTCTTATAGGTCTTGAAAAAATATTCTTTAAAAAATCCACGCCTCTTATAGGTCTTGAAAAAATATTCTTTAAAAAATCCACGCCTCTTATAGGTCTTGAAAAAATATTCTTTAAAAAATCCACGCCTCTTATAGGTCTTGAAAAAATATTCTTTAAAAAATCCACGCCTCTTATAGGTCTTGAAAAAATATTCTTTAAAAAATCCACGCCTCTTATAGGTCTTGAAAAAATATTCTTTAAAAAATCCACGCCTCTTATAGGTCTTGAAAAAATATTCTTTTAAAAATCCACGCCTCTTATAGGTCTTGAAAAAATATTCTTTAAAAAATCCACGCCTCTTATAGGTCTTGAAAAAATATTCTTTAAAAAATCCACGCCTCTTATAGGTCTTGAAAAAATATTCTTTAAAAAATCCACGCCTCTTATAGGTCTTGAAAAAATATTCTTTAAAAAATCCACGCCTCTTATAGGTCTTGAAAAAATATTCTTTAAAAAATCCACGCCTCTTATAGGTCTTGAAAAAATATTCTTTAAAAAATCCACGCCTCTTATAGGTCTTGAAAAAATATTCTTTAAAAAATCCACGCCTCTTATAGGTCTTGAAAAAATATTCTTTAAAAAATCCACGCCTCTTATAGAAGTCTTGAAAAAATATTCTTTAAAAAATCCACGCCTCTTATAGGTCTTGAAAAAATATTCTTTAAAAAATCCACGCCTCTTATAGGTCTTGAAAAAATATTCTTTAAAAAATCCACGCCTCTTATAGGTCTTGAAAAAATATTCTATAAAAAATCCACGCCTTTTGTAGGTCTTGAAAAAATATTCTTTAAAAAATCCACGCCTCTTATAGGTCTTGAAAAAATATTCTTTAAAAAATCCACGCCTCTTATAGGTCTTGAAAAAATATTCTTTAAAAAATCCACGCCTCTTATAGGTCTTGAAAAAATATTCTTTAAAAAATCCACGCCTCTTATAGGTCTTGAAAAAATATTCTTTAAAAAATCCACGCCTCTTATAGGTCTTGAAAAAATATTCTTTAAAAAATCCACGCCTTTTGTAGGTCTTGAAAAAATATTCTTTAAAAAATACACGCCTGCTCCTACTGGGAGCATGGATTGGAAAAATATGTTTGAAAACTCCATGCCTCTTTGAACCCTTGGTCCCGAAAACATATTCTTTAAAAAACCACGCCTTCACATCACATATAGGTCTTGAAATATATTCTTTAAAAAATCCATGCCTCCTACTGAGCCTTAAAAAAATATTCTTTAAAAAACCCGCATCATTTATAGATCTTTAAAAAATAATAATACTAATCTTAAACACCTGTTTTTTGGGTCTTGAAAATATATTCTTTAAAAAATCCACGCCTCTTATAGGTCTTGAAAAAATATTCTTTAAAAAATCCACGCCCGCTCCTACTGGGAGCATGGATTGGAAAAATATGTTTGAAAACTCCACGCCTCTGTGAACCCTTGGTCATCGATTTTTTGATCGATTTTTAGATCATTCTGTTCGTTACACGGTTCATTGCTGCGAAATAAATGAATCAATTAAATATTTTTTTGGTATGTGTGTGGTTTTCCCTACGCATCATTCGTTGTCGTTGTTGTAGTTGTCTTTTTGTCTGAGTTGGCTTTAGAATTTCCACTCTATTTTTCAAAACTTTGTGAATCTAATTATAAAATTAAATGTTTCTCAATAACAACGCAAAAAAACGAAAAAAAAATCGGAAAGAAGAAACAAAATAGAAATTTGTCGCTCTATTGAGTAGAGAAAAAAAACGAGAAAAAATTAATCAGAACAACAATTACAACAACAAAAACAACACCGCAATAAAGTACTCAGCAGTGTAGAGGATGCATTGAATTTTGAATCGAATTGGTTTGGATTGAATTGAACTGAAATGAAAATTGGCCAAAAAGACAACGACAACACAACGTGTGATTTTGATTCTCTTCTGATGTTGGTGTTGTTGTTGTTTTTGTTGCATTTTTATTACATTGGGATGGGCTGTTGTTGTTGCTGCTGTTTGGCAAAAAATCTTGAAAAAATATTCTTTAAAAAATCCACGCCTCTTATAGGTCTTGAAAAAATATTCTTTAAAAAATCCACGCCTCTTATAGGTCTTGAAAAAATATTCTTTAAAAAATCCACGCCTCTTATAGGTCTTGAAAAAATATTCTTTAAAAAATCCACGTGTCTTATAGGTCTTGAAAAAATATTCTTTAAAAAATCCACGCCTCTTATAGGTCTTGAAAAAATATTCTTTAAAAAATACACGCCTGCTCCTACTGGGAGCATGGATTGGAAAAATATGTTTGAAAACTCCATGCCTCTTTGAACCCTTGGTCCCGAAAACATATTCTTTAAAAAACCACGCCTTCACATCACATATAGGTCTTGAAATATATTCTTTAAAAAATCCATGCCTCCTACTGAGCCTTAAAAAAATATTCTTTAAAAAACCCGCATCATTTATAGATCTTTAAAAAATAATAATACTAATCTTAAACACCTTTTATAGGCCTTGAAAAAATATTCATTAAAAATCCTACTGGGAGCATGGATTGAAAAAATATTTTTGAAAACTCCGCGCCTCTGTGAACCCTTGGTCATCGATTTTTTTTTTTGATCGATTTTCAGATCATTCCGTTCTTTATACGGTTCATTGCTGCGAAATAATTGAATCAATTGAATATTTTGTTTGTATGTGGTTTTTCCCTACGCATCATTCGTTGTCGTTGTTGTAGTTGTCTTTTTGTCTGAGTTGGCTTTAGAATTTAGAATTTCCACTCTATTTTTCAAAACTTTGTGAATCTAATTATAAAATTAAATGTTTCTCAATAACAACGCAAAAAAAAAAACGAAAAAAATCGGAAAGAAGAAACAAAATAGAAATTTGTCGCTCTATTGAGTAGAGAAAAAAAACGAGAAAAAATTAATCAGAACAACAATTACAACAACAAAAACAACACTGCAATAAAGTACTCAGTTGAATTTTGAATTGAATTGGTATGGATTGAATTGAACTGAAATGAAAATTGGCCAAAATAAACGACACGACACAACGTGTGATTTTGATTCTCTTCTGATGTTGTTGTAGTTGTTGCATTTTTATTACATTGGGATGGGCTGTTGTTGTTGCTGCTGTTTGGCAAAAAATCCACCAACACCACCACCCAGCCAACAGCAGCACCTTGCAGCATGGGTGTTTTTGTTTTGTGGCAGCCTCAGTGGTATTTGAAGCAGCCAGCCAGCCAAAAGCGAACATTATTTTCAAAACTAATTCGATCTGATCGAAAGGTAATTTTTTAATTGATGCAAATCAACAGAGTTGAGTGATTATCGTGGTGCGCTAACGTGAACAACACACATTTTTTCGGTCCGGACGGATAGTCGTATTCATCGATCTTCTCTTCACAACTCATATTCGATATTTTGTTGTAGTATTTTTCCATATTATTTTTTTATTATTATTAACAACTGCTTTGCATTCGGTGGGTAACGGGTAATAACAAAACAGTTTTGGAGTGAAAAAAAAACGCGGATGAAAAAAAATTAAATAAAAATATATTTAAAAAATATATAAAAAATAATAGTAAAACATAACCTCAAAGGGAACAAAAACAAAACCTGTTATTTAAAAAAAAAAATTAAATTAAAATTGAAAATACTTTTTTAAAATTAATTAAAAAATTTATAGAAATAATTTTGAAAAATTTAATAAAAACAAATTATAAATTTCTCAATTTTTAGTAAAGCCGATTTTAAGGATATATCTTTGCTTTATATCGGATTAACATCAAAGACTATACAAAATGGTGAGTTGAAAATAATTAAAAGCAGGATTTTTTTTGTAATAGTATCTTGTTTTTGATTTTTTTAAATTTCAAATATATTTTTCGAAAAAAAATTTTTTGTATTTTTTTTTCACCGATATTCCTTTCCCAAAAGAGTGGCCTTGATTACAGCAAATAACATCATTAATCAAATTAATTGTGCTCATTTATTTTAGAGGTTAAATGTAGGATTTTTTTTGGCGTTCTTTCACCAAAATACAATCGAAAAATCTCGTCGAAGAAGGAAAAAAATAGGTGTAGAGAAGAAAAATAAAACATTTCGTATTTGTATCGAGAATGTGTGTTGAGAAAATGGCTGACATTTATAGGTTGTGTATATTATGTAAAGTAGGTATTAGATTTCGAAATATTCCACTATCCGAATATAAATTGTATCGGAAAAATAATGCTTATCTGAATAGGTATTAGGTTGGGGGAAAAAAAGAAATCCATTATTATAATATGAACTATAGGACTTTATTAAAAACACTTCGGAATGTTCGACTTTGGCACCAAATAGGTACCGTTTTGTTGTAAAATGTGTTGCCATTAGCAGAAGTCCTGCTCTCTATTTTCACAATCCTCTCTAGATACAAATTTTTAATCATTAAAGAAATTTTGGAAATGCAAGAAAAAGATGATAATCGTTTGGTGCCAAGTACGGACTGATAAGTCACTGGAGATGTGTGTGGCCTAGCGTTGTCCTGGTGGAACACGACACATCTCTTGTTGGACAATTCTGGCCGTTTCTGGTCAATTGCTATCTTCGAACGGTTCAGTTGTTGAAAGTAGAGATCAGACTTTAGCGTTTGGCCATATGGAAGGGACTCATAATAAAAAATCCCCTTCCAGTCTCATCAAATGCATAGCAGAACCTTCCTGCTAGTCTGTGTTTGAGGTGCTTTGCCGCTCTTTGACCACCATCGATTTCGCATAGGGTCATCGTCAGCATTCGTTTAAAAAACGGGTCTATATGTGTTTGGGCAAGGCTTCGCAGATGGAAATTCGATACATCCTATTTTTTTCTATTAATAGGTGTGGCATCCAAACATCGAGCTAAAACGGGTCGATGTAGAAACATGTAACTACAAGGAGAGGTCCCCCGACAATTCTAGATTTTAAATTTTCAAAACCTTTGTTGTTGTTGTAGTTTTTGGTGATTAAAGAAAAATCCTTATTTTTGATAACGGGCATGATTACTCTTCACTTGAACATCGGAATCCGGAAATTCCAAGGGTGTTAGATAGAGTACATATCTGGCTCTCGTATGAACTAGGATTATTGACTTCGCTCAAAAATTAACAAAATGACGGACCTTTGATTTTTTTTTTTTGAAAATCGCTTTTTTTTGCCACAAACTAAGTTTAAAAAAAGCCAGTAAGGAGATTAGTAAAGTCGGACTGGGCCGACTATATGATACCCTTCACCACTTTGGGTACATTCTACATAGTCTCCTAACAGACGTCGCCTTTTCGAAAGAACATTGACATGAAATTGAACGAAAGATATATAAGAAGTTTTGTGCACTATTTCTATTAAATCGGACGAATATATATATATATATATATATGAGAGCTATATATAAATCTGAAACGATTTTCACGAAACTCATCACACATCATTATAGACGTAATATAGTACGCTATGCCAATTTTCGTTCATATCGAAAGATATTTAGGACTTTGGTGCACCAATTACATAAAATCGGACTAAAATATACACAGGACCTATATCTAAATCTGAACCGATTTCTACCAAACTTAGCACACACCATTCCAGACTTAATTCAATACGCTGAGCCAAATTTTATGCCAATCGAATGATATATAAGAACTTTTGTGCACCATTTCTATTAAATCGGACGAAAATATCTAAATATATATGGGAGCTATATCTAAATCTGAATCGATTTTCACGAAACTTAGCACACATCATTCTAGACTTAATTCAGTACGCTATGTTAAATTTCGTGCAAATCGCAAGATATATGGGGGCTTTGGTGTGGCATTTACATAAAATCAGATGAAAATATATATGGGAGCTATATATAAATCTGAACCGATTTCCACCAAACGTAGCACACATCATTCTAGACTTAATTTAGTACGCTGTGCCAAATTTCGTTCATATCGAAAGATATTTAGGGTCTTTGGCGCACCATTTACCTTAAATCGCATGAAAATATATATGGGAGCCATATCTAAATCTGAACCGATTTTCACGAAACTTAACACACATCATTCTAGACTTAATGTAGTACGCTATGCCAAATTTCGTCCAAATCGAAAGATATTTAGAGACTTTGGTGCACTATTTACCTTAAATCGGACGAAAATATATATGGGAGATATATATAAATCTGAACCCATTTTCACGAAACTTAACACATATCATTCTACACCTAATTCAGTACGCTGTGCCTAATTTCGTGAAAATCGAAAGATATTTAGAGACTTTGGTGCACCATTTACCTTAAATCGGACGAAAACATATGTGGGAGCTATATTTAAATCTGAACCAATTTTTCCAAATTTCAGTAGGGTTCATCCTTGGGCCAAATAAATCAGTTGTACCAAATTTCATCCAGAACCGTTAAATGGTTCTGCATAAACGTTTAAAATGTCTAGAATGTGACGTTAGGGTTATACAGAGGCTATACCATAAACAACACCGGTGTATAGCGATCTGTGTCGTGATTTCAAGATACATACGCTCACGATTAAATCGACTTAATGTGGGTGGAGTCTTGCAGCGGCTTCGGATCCCAGGTGGGAAGGAAGAGCAATTTTTTAGGCGACCGACAGAAATTGTATCTTATACTCATGTATTTGAAGACTTAAAGAAGAAGAAAATAAAAAAAAAACAAAATGTCGTTGTTTTTGTAATTAAAGAAAATTCTTTGTTTTTGATCACTGGAACATTCCAATCACAAAAAATTGACTTTATTCAAACATTATTTTGGAGCAAAATTTGGAAAATGGGGTCAAAAACTTTTGAAATCAACGACCTGTTCATATTCTTGTACACCATTGAAGCGGCTACACATTTTTTTAGGAGAAGTCTCAATCGGAATGCAACAATTTAATTTTCGTTTTTTCTTTGTTCTAACATACTCATCTTAATATTTGAAACCTTTGAAAAACTAAACCATTATTTAAATAACAAATATATCCCCCCTAATTGAAATTTAGTATTTTTTAACAATTCCTTCGTTGGCTATACTAATTCGCTACTTATACTAAAGATATCATTTCATGATCTCCTCTGTGCGCATAAAGCTCAAACCAATCAAATTTATAAATATGATAAAAAGAAAATCGTTCAAACTCGACCAATGGTTGTTGTATCATGTTCAATATTTCTTTATTTCGAATTAAATGTTTACAAAAATTCAAAACGTGTCAAATATAGTAACTAAAATATAAAACAACCAGTGAGCGGAGCAGTATAGTCGGACGGGCCGACCATATGATACACTACACAACTTACACGAAAATCTAACTTTCTGCGGTGTAGTCCTGAGCTAGGGCAATATTTTGCGATATTTGCACCCTCTTGACCGACTAAAGGTCAACAAATATTACTAATATTCAGTACAGCTCTTCTAATTATTTGTCCAGATTCCCTTCAACGTGGGATGTGTTCGGCATTCAATTGTGGCCTATAGATCGACTCCAAAAACATAAAAATTAAGTTTTCGGTTCACTTCATCCCAATATTATTATCTGATCATCACCGAAAATTATAGGCGTTGTCCTTGACCATACCTGGTCAGGGTCCATTTGACCCGCTAAATATTGATCGATCTTTATTAAAATAGGCATGCTTATTCTTTGGTCCGATCCCCTTCTCCATGTTTTTGGTCCATTTCATCCACTAAATATTAACCGATCTTCACCAAAAACAATAGGGGTCTTCATTGGGCCGAACCCATCCTACATGCAAAATTTCGTGAAGATTGATCAAAAACTGTGGCCTGTATCGTGTTTACAAAATATAATGGACAGACGGACGGACACACATGTCTAGATCGACTCAGCTAGTCGAGATATGACGATCGGTATACTTAAAGGTGGGTCAAGGACCAATATTTCGCGGCGTTACAAACTCTTGGGGCTGCACAAAGCTATAATACCCTGAACTTTCTGCTGATGGTTATTCCGAGCCTGGGCAATATTTCTGATATTTGCACCATCTTGCCCGATTAGAGGTCAACTGCATCCCTTCTTTACACTGACATATTTTCCGAATATTACTAATTCTCCCTAGCAAAAATTATCAAGGTTGTCTCAGTGTCCATTTTAGCGTTACACCCTATTATTGGGTCTATTGGTTTCTAATTGGGTGCCAAATATTCACACCAAAAACTATCAAAATTGGTCGATGATTAGATTTTGCCCAATCTGAGAATCTGTATTTTGGTATTTAGCCTCGATCTAGTTTATATATTTTGAATGTCCATCTCATGGTGGGGTTATAAAATATTCACACCGATCGAACGTAACAAACGGTATAACCTTTACCACACTGTGCTACATGCCATTATGTCTTTTTAACACGCAAAAGGAAACAGGATAAACACATGGTTCCTTTTGTAGTTGAGGTGTGCGAGCCCCTGCCCGCCTCTGACTACGTCGCTGTCTACCATATATATTTTCGTCCGATTTTATGTTAATGGTGCACCAAAGCTCCAATATTTCTTCCGATTTCGACGAAATTTGGCATAGCATACTGAATTGAGTCTTGAATGATGTATGTTAAGTTTCCTGGAAATCGGTCCAAATTTAAATATAGCTCCGACATATACTTTCGTTCGGTTTTATGTAAATAGTACACCAAAGTCCAAACATATCTTTCGATTTGCACGAAAGTTGGATTAGCGTACTGAATTGAGTCTTGAATGATTTGTGCTAAGTTTCGTGAAAATCGATTTATATTTAGATTTAGCTTCCATATATATATATATATATATATATATATATATTCGTCCGATTTTATATAAATAGTGCACCAAAACCCCTATATTTCTGATTTCCACGAAATTTGGCATAGGGTACTGAATTGAGTGTAGAAGGATGTGTGCAATGTTCCGTGAAAATCGGTTCAGATTTAGATATAGCTCTCATATATATTTACGTCCGATTTTATGTATCTTTCGATTTGCACAAAATTTGGCATAGTGTTTGATTTGAATTGGTATATTTTTCTGTGCCCCTTTCCATTTTCTTTTATCAGTAATAATAATTTTTTCGTTTACCTTTCTTTCATTTTTAAAATCGCCTCTCTGCAATATCGACAGACTGAACAAGAATACGACAAAGAACAACTGAGAAGTAAGTTATTCACATTCCCCAATTCCAATTGGATTTAGTAAAATCTTGTCTTTCCCACCACCACCACCACCAGTCTTGCGTAACGCCTTCAAAGCATTCGATCACGATGACAAAGGTTTCATCGAACACGCTGATGTCCATCAAATCCTTGAAATTCTCGGCCAAAAACTAGATGAAAAGGCGGTAAAGGCCCTGATCAAAGAGGTCGATAAGGGCAACACCGGCAAATTGGATTTCAGTAAATTTTGTAAATTGGCTGCCCGTTTCGTTGAGGTTGAAGAAGATGGTCCCGTGCTAATGGGCGAGCTGAAGGAAGCCTTCCGTGTCTACGACAAGGAGGGTAAAGGCTATTTGACAGTACAAACATTGCGTGGCATTCTGCATGAATTGGATGATAAGTTGTCGAATCAGGATTTGGATATGATTATTGAGGAAATTGATGCTGATGGTTCGGGTACTGTAGATTTTGATGGTAAGAGGGTATTTGATATTTTGATGTTGTTTATAAATTAATATTTTTTCTTTTTAATTTCTCTTTCCAGAATTCATGCAAGTGATGACAGGTAAAAATTTGCATGACATTTTTGTGCATCAGCGCTTCACGTTTCCGCCGCCTCCCCATCCCCCTGCTGTTCCCCTTCCCACAAGTCGCTGTCCATGTCCCTCACATCGCCAGCTTTTACATCGCCGCTTAGAAATGCAATGTCAAAGAGTTCTGCAACAGCTGTGGCAACCCCTGAGTAACCTGCATGAACGTTGTGTTCAACATTATGTTTGGCATGTCCAACAACCTGTTTCGGCATACCGACCATCCACATACAAAGAAACAACAACTGTGACCACAACAAATACTTTATCATCATCATCCAAGACGTCGTCATCGACTACTTCGTCGTCTTCGTCATCATCCTGTTCCAGTGTCTCATTTTGTCGTCCACGTTTTCGTCCCCGCTTCCCTAAATGGGTACCCATTTTAACGCTGTATCGTGAAATTATACAAAATCCCTTTCGTCGTCGTCATCGTTGTCGTTATATGATATCGTATAAGTAATTTTGCGGGACGTGACACCATAGTGTTGTTGTTATTTATTTTAGTTCCTTATTAACAAATCACTGCCAGGGCACTGCATTAATATTTTTCGGTTTAGATTTTATTTTACACTAATTGTATCCTAGGACTCGAAAAGCTGAGGGGAAAGAAAATACCTATTAGGCGAACCGGAGGAAGCTGAGTTAAAGAGAGTATTTTTAGACGAGTTTATGGGAGTATCTATTGACGAGCAGAAGGGATTGTTATAGGCGAGCTGAAGAGAGTCTTTATAGACGAGCTGAAGGCAGTCTTCATAGACGAGCAGAAGGGAGTTTTATAGACGAGCGGAAGGGAGTCTTTATAGACGGGTTGTAGGGAGTCTTTATAGACGGGCTGAAGGCAGTCTCTATAGACGAGATAAAGGTGTACCGAGGATTTTTTTCTATAGAAAACACAATCCTGAGATTTCTGAGATTTTCTTCTATAGAAAAATCTATCTTCCGAAGGCTGAGGAATTTTTTCTATAGGAAAAACAATCCTCAGTAGAAGGGATTGTTTATAGGCGAGCTGAAGAGAGTTTTATAGACGAGCTGAAGGGAGTTTTATAGACGAGCGGAAGGGAGTCTTTATAGACGGGCTGTTGGGAGTCTTTATAGACGGGCTGAAGGCAGTCTCTATAGACGAGATAAAGGTGTACTGAGGAATTTCTCAGTGTGCTGAGGATTTTTTTCTATAGAAAACACAATACTATGTGGGCTGAGAATTTTTTTCTACAGAAAAACAATCCTCAGAAAGCTGAGGAAATTTTTTCTGTAGAAAAAAAAACAATCCTTTGAGGCCTGAGGATTTTTTTCTAAAGAAAAACAATCCTCAGAAAGCTGAGGATTTTTTTCTATAGAAAAACAATTCTCAGAAAGCTGAGGATTTTTTCTATAGAAAAAACAATCCTCAGGGGCCTGAGGAAATTTTTTCTGTAGAAAAAAGAATCCTCAGAGGCCTGAGGAATTTTTTTCTACAGAAAAAACAATCCTCAGACACGTGAGGAATTTTTTTCTACAGAATAAAACATCCTCAGGGGCCTGAGGAATTTTTTTCTATAGAAAAAACCATCCAACCATCTATAGAAAAAGCAATCCTCAGAGGCCTGAGTAATTTTTTCAATAGAGAAAAGTATCCTCAGGTGCCTGAGGAACTTTTTCTATAGAAATAACAACCCTCAGAGGACTAAGGAATTTTTTCTATAAAAAAACTATGTTCAGAGGACTGAGGAATTTTTTCTATAGAAGAAAAAACAATTCTCAAAGGCCTGAAGAATTGTTTTCTATAGAAAAACAATCCTTATAGGCCTGTGGATTTTTTCAATAGAAAAAACAATCCTTAGAGGCCTGAGGATTTTTTTCTATAAAGGCCTGAGGAATTTTTTTCTATAGAAAAAACAATCCTCTGAGGCCTGAGGAATTTTTTCTATAGAAAAAACAATCCTCAGAGGCCTGAGGAATTTTTTCTATAGAAGAAAAAAACAATTCTCAAAGGCCTGAAGAATTGTTTTCTATAGAAAAAACAATCCTTATAGGCCTGTGGATTTTTTCAATAGAAAAAACATTCCTTAGAGGCCTGAGGATTTTTTTCTATAAAGGCCTGAGGAATTTTTTTCTATAGAAAAAACAATCCTCAGAGGCCTGAGGAATTTTTTTCTATAAAAAAAACAATCCTCAGAGGCCTGGGGATTTTTTTTCTATAGAAAAAACAATCCTCAGAGGCCTGAGGAATTTTTTTCTATAGAAAAAAATCATCAAAGAACTGAGGAATTCCTTTCTATAGAACCCAGGCCTTATAGAATTTTTGTTTTCTATAGAAAAAATAATTTTCAGTGGCCTGGGATTTTTTTCTATAGAAAACCCCATCCTAAGAGGCCTGGGGATTTTTTTTATAGAATAAACATCATCAAAGAACTGAGGAATTCCTTTCTATAAAAAAATTAATGGAACCCAGGCCTTATAGAATTTTTGGATTTTTACACATAGAAGACCTGGGTCCTACCTAGAGAGGATCATGTCGTTTATATGTTGTAGATTATATTTCATTTGGATATTTTTAATATAGAAAATTAAGGTCTTCCCTATATTGAAATCATCCATTGTTTCCTGTGTGTTCTTTTTTCTAAATTTATCATACCCTGCATATTTGTTCGCATGTTATCCTCATTCTTACTGTCTATGAATGCTTATGTGCCTTTATTCTTTGTCCGCTTTATTCGTCAATTTTTTAATCTCCTCAATTTTTTTATTTAAAATGTATTCTTTGTTAATATTTTTCAGGTTAATTTTGTTTTTAGTTCTATTCTTATTTCATTCATTTGTTTGGCTCCGGATTTGTTTGGGGCGGCTTTGGAAGGCAAAGAAGACATAAATTATTTTATCTCTATTATTTTTATTATTAAATAATTCTAACAGCAAAGTTAAGTCCGGAAAACAATCATCTTTTCTGATTTAACTGACAACTAAAGAAACAAATTAAATGGATTAGATTTTTAGTTTCAAAACAATATATTTCTGTTAATTATATTTATTTTTGTTATTCCACTGTAAAAAGTCACCATACTTAATAAAAAAGAAAAATATATATTCGAAAAAAAAATGATTTGAATTGAATATATAACACCTTATGGTAATATTCAAGAGTGAGTAGTAAAATAAAGACAAGGTCTTGAAGAAGGTCTTGAATAAAAAGTTTTGAACGCTATAACGTTGGGCGCCATTTTTACTTGACCAAAGATTGTGAGACTTTGAAAAAATATTATTTAAAAAATGCACGCCTCTGTGAAGCTTTTGAAGCCTGTTATAGCCTTGTGAAGCCTTGAAAAAATATTATTTAAAAAAATGCACGCCTCTGTGAAGCTTTTGAAGCCTCTTATAGCCTTGTGAAGCCTTGAAAAAATATTATTTAAAAAATGCACGCCTCTGTGAATCTTTTGAAGCCTCTTATAGCCTTGTGAAGCCTTGAACAAATATTCTTTAAAAAATCCACGCCTCTTATAGCCTAGTGAAGCCTCTGTGAAGCCTTGAAAAAATATTTTTTAAAAAATCCACGCCTCAGTGAAGCCTTGAAAAAATATTTTTTAAAAAACCCACGCCTCAGTGAAGCCTTCAAAAATATTCTTTAAAAAATGCACGCCTCAGTGAAGCCTTAAACAAATATTTTTTAAAAAATCCACGGCTCAGTGAAGCCTTGAAAAAATATTCTTTAAAAAATGCACGCCTCAGTGAAGCCTTGAAAAAATATTTTTTAAAAAATCCACGCCTCAGTGAAGCCTTAAAAAATATTTTTTAAAAAATCCACGCCTCAGTGAAGCCTTGAAAAAATATTTTTAAAAAAATCCACGCCTCAGTGAAGCCTTGAAAAAATATTTTTAAAAAAATCCACGCCTCAGTGAAGCCTTGAAAAAATATTTTTTAAAAAATCCACGCCTTTTTAAAGGACTTGAAAAAATATTCTTTAAAAAATCCACGCCTTTTTAAAGGACTTGAAAAAAAAATATTCTTTAAAAAATCCACGCCTTTTTAAAGGACTTGAAAAAAATATTCTTTAAAAAATCCACGCCTTTTTAAAGGACTTGAAAAAATATTCTTTAAAAAATCCACGCCTTTTTAAAGGACTTGAAAAAAATATTCTTTAAAAAATCCACGCCTTTTGAAAGGACTTGAAAAAATATTCTTTAAAAAATCCACGCCTTGGATAGGCCTTGAAAAAATATTCTTTAAAAAATGCACGCCTTGGATAGGCCTTGAAAAAATATTCTTTTAAAAATGCACGCCTTGGATAGGCCTTGAAAAAATATTCTTTTAAAAATGCACGCCTTGGATAATCCTTGAAAAAATATTCTTTAAAAAATCCACTACTTGGATAGGCTTCGAAAAAATATTCTTTAACAAATCCACGACTTGAATAGGCCTTGAAAAAATATTCTTTAAAAAATCCACGCCTTGGATAGGCCTTGAAAAAATATTCTTTAAAAAATCCACGCCTTGGATAGAGCTTGAAAAAATATTCTTTAAAAAATCCACGCCTTGGGTAGGCCTTGAAAAAATATTCTTTAAAAAATCCACGCCTTTGATAGGGCTTGAAAAAATGTTCTTTAAAAAATCCACGCCTCAGTTGGCCCTTGAAGAAATCTTCTTTAAAAAATCCACGCCTACTTATAGGCCTTGAAAAAATGTTCTTTTAAAAATCCACGCCTTTTATAGACCTTAAAAAAATCCCTTTAGTTTGGCTTATACTGATAAAAACCCATTTATATGTGGCAATTACAATAATTACAAGACCTAAAGAAGCCTTTGAAGAATTTTAAAATTTGTTTTCAAAATTCAAAGCCTCTGGAAATATTCGTAATTTTCCCAAATCGTCATTACACCCCAAATTATGTAGGTGAACGTGAGAAATATGCCATAAAATATTATTGCTTATTGCGGAAAATATTATCTAGACTCAAAAAAAAAAAAAAAAAAAAAAAATCCGTCTAGTTACAGTTAAGCGTTTTGTTTTTTTCGTTTGTTTATTACGTTGTGCGCCATTTATTATATTGGGCTTCGATCAACCCAAATCCAATGTTATTTTTGCTACTGGCTTTTATCTAATTAAAGTCGAATGGATTTCAAAGAACTGCTCCCATTTTTTTTGGCGGAGAATTTTTCGCTTAGAGGTGCGTAAAATTGCGCAAAAATTAACAGACAGACAGACGAACAGACAGAATGCCACAACAAACCGAAAGCGTGGTAACGATTCCTGAAAAATCATAACGTCAATATTAATAAGCAGCAGAAGTGGTTGCCGTTGTGGCAGCAAAATCGATTCAAATGTAAAATAAAAGGCGGCAATATGACATGACAAGTGTTCGCAGAACCCATTCGGTTATGGTGGTGATGTGATTTTGTGTATTTTCGTTGCAAGTCGTAAACAAAAAATTTAATGATGTTGCTTTGGCTATTTAAGGTAAGGTAGGGTAACGTAAAATAAAAACAATT